GCCCCTATACATCAGTGTGAACAATATTAAAAGCAAAAGTACTTCTTTTATTACTTGGTTTAAAAGACTGCCTACAATGCTTTTTTAACTGACAACTCTCACACTCCAAAGTACATAACTGAACAGACTCAATTAAAGTTTATTGGGATGGGATTGGTAAAGGCTATCCTAAGCCAAACTCAACCCCTTGACAATCCTAAATATTGGGTTCTAGAGAGAGAGAGAGAGAGAGAGTAAAAGAATTAGGTGAGAGAGAACAATGAGATGACTTTTATTGTTTTTGTTTTATATGGTGGCATGACCTTAAATAATTAGATATTCGGTAACAAATATGAAAGGGGAAAAGTATTATGATTACATTTATCTTATATGATGGCATTATTATAAATTTAGTGACTCATTATATATATCTATACTAGATATAAAAGCGTGAATGAAGTGCGAACTTTTTTTAGAGTAAAATTATCCTCAATTTCTCTATTTGAGAAAGGGTATAAAAGTCATATTATAGCTTTAATGCCAACTTTAATAGCTACTAAAATGGTCATTTTTGTGTATTTAATCCATATCTAATTGTGGATTGAAAATATAACTTCAATTATTACTTTCCACCTCATTTAATCCCCTCTCATTAAGTTTTACACTTAAGGTATTAAATCCCATTTTCTCTTATTAAATCATATATTTTAAGTTACTTTTCACTAATAAATGCTACTAATTAGATCTATGTCAATATCCTTAACAATATAAGCCCATATATCGTAAAACTAACTCAAAAACAAAACCATTATTTATCCAAGTGGTGGCTAAGCAATTCAACTATCCGAATCAAATTGATCAACTTATGAAGTTATAGTTAGGTAATAAAATTTTTAAAATAGAAATAAATATAAAAAAATGTAGAAAAATTAGACACATTTATGATATTTTTTAATCAAATTAAAATTTAAGTGTAATAAACAAGAATTATTTTTATTGATAATGAAAATGAAAACATAATTTAGAACCGACCAAAAATGAAATATAAAAGTTAATAATAAATAGTTCAACTTTTGGGTTAAATGTGTTAACATTTAATGTCATAAATAAATAATAAAAATTAATACAATATAAAAATACAAAATGAGAAAAATACATAAATTTTACAAAAAAGCATTCAGGCACATGTATATCATATATTTATCATGCTAAACAAAAAGTAAGTGTAATATGTTAAAATTATTCACATAAAAAATAGAAAAGAAATTATAGAAAAAATTGAATGTATCTATAATTCTATATTTGCACTATTATTGAAAATATGAATAAGATTGTGGAACGCTTTGGCTTCCGGTTTCCAAGTCAGCAGTTCAACTATCCAATTTGAATGGGTCAAACCGATAAGATGTAAAATATAATGTAACTCTTTATTTTAAACCATTAGATTAGGTTAAAGTTTATTCGCATGGTTTTGAAAACCAAATCAATCTAGAAAAACTAGAAACCGATCAGGTAACTGGTTTCGTTTCACCCTAAAACCGCTTTTTGGCCAAAAACCTTTTGATTTGGTTGGTGACCTACTACCCCAGACGGTCGAACTGTTGACCTGGACAATGGTTTTGGCTATTTTTTATTTTATTTTTTGTTTTTAAGTTAGAACGAGCCATCCATTCGAACTGAGTCGAACCGTTTGACCCGGGAATTGGTCCACAAATGGTTCCTTGTTCGGTTCAATTTTAAAAACCTTAGTCCATTGAATATATACATTATTATGAGAGAGGAGTGTAAAACTTTGAGAATGAGGCGGCTGGTTAAAACCTATAAGTGAGAAGAAGAAGAAGAAGCCACCACCGGCAGCTAACTCCATGTTCATCATCACAACCGCTACAACATTGTTGTCCTCTTCTTATATCTTTCTCAAGTCCTAAATCGTTTGCTTCATTTGTATCTTAGATTTCTAATATAAGATTGATGTTTTAATCTTTCATCCCTTGCATTGATTTTTCAATTTTTTTATTGGAGTTGTAATTTTTTCTTTTTGTTGTTACAACTTAAAAAAGGGCCCTAAAAAGAATCACATAAATGAGAAAACTCAAAATCAAAATGGAAAAATTAAAAACCCTAACGAATTTTGGCCAATTGGAATAACTGAACAAGATTATGAGATATGAAGCTTTCTTTATTTAATTTTTTATGTTCTGATTTCTATTTTAAAATAAATAAAAATTTTAGAAATAGTTTGGAAGCAACCTGAGAACTATTAACAAGGTCAAACATTTTAACAGTTAAACTGCTTAGGTCAACAATTTTTTTACCATTTCAATGTTTTTTTTTTTTGTACAATAGTAGTGTAGGGCCAAGACGGAATCAGTGACTTGGCCGGTTCCTAGGCCAAACGATCCAACCATCCAATCTGGTCCGATTTTTAAAATAGTGACTAAAATACTCATTTATGAATTTATTCTCTATTTAATTATGTAAGATTTAAATTGTAAATTGAACTACTACTTTTCACCTCATTCAATTTCCCTCTATTTAAATCTTACATTTTTTGATAAATAAATAAAAGAAATAAAGATGTGCCAAAAAGATAAAACACTACAAAAAGAAGAGTCTAGCCAAGCGGGTAGGCCTGCCAATGATACTTAAAACTTTGCAATTCAATCTGATTATCACATATTTGGATGAGGTGTTTATGTAATCAGATTTGGATTTCACAATCTGCATCTAATTAATAATAAAAGGAAAAATAATATATATAAGTAAAAAATAAAAAATACATAAAGTTTATAGAAAATTATCATCATCTAGAATTGCCATGTTCAAAGCACATGCACACTTACTAGTATATATATAAAGAGAGAGAGAGAGAGAGAGAGAGAGAGAGAGAGAATTTTAAAAATTTGTAAGGGTAACTTTAGAAAACAAAATTTACATCATGAATGAAAAGAGAGAGCATTAAACTCTCTCTTTTAATAATAGGTATATGGATATAGTTCCCTTGTTGGGTTGGGACCTGGAACTTGGGACTTAAGGAAGATTATAAATATTGGAATGGGATGATTATAGCCATTGGATTTCTAATTTTTCTTCTGATTATTGAAAAATGCAAGCACTAACATTATAAAATGTATGGATTACATGGTTTGGTTGGCATTCTTTTCTTATCTTGTACAAGTCTTGATCTGCTGCAAGTACCTGCAAATATAATAGAATTATCAAAGAGGATGGTAATCACTCAAAAGAATGTTGAATGCAGGTGGGGATTTGTTACTAGGGGTGACTGAGTGAGCAAATGGGTAGGTTCTACCCGGAACCAAATGGAACAAACCTTGAACCGACCCTTGAGCCCCAATCTATTATAGGATAGGGTCTAGTTCCAAATTCTTGGAGCCGATCCCCACCTATGTTGGTTCTAGGGTCTAGGGGTTTACCCTACCCGAACCAACCCGACGAATCAGCCTTGCTTGAACTTGGTGGAACTGACCTTGGAACCGAATTTACCTTGAAATAAACCCTAAAATTTTATTAAGGATGTGAAGGTTTGAACCCAAGCACTCATGGTTACAAAAGCCATAGTCTCACTTTACCATTAAGTTACTTAAGTGATTTGATCATTTCTTTTCATTTTAATATTTGAATGTGTATAATAAATAATGTAAAAGATAATGTTTACAAAATTTAAATTATAATGGCACTTATTGAATCATATATTAATATATTATGATAATCTACATATTAAATACTCACTTTAATCAATAAAGATAATATAAGTTTTAAACTCTCTCTCTCTCTCTCTCTCTCTATATATATATATATATATACATATATTATCAGTATTGAAAATCAAGCTTTTAAAGGACGTGTTTCATTTTTTTATAGGGGGGAGAGTAAAGAAATAATAAGTTTGACAGATAGGCCCTAGAATCGACCCCAAAACCGACCTTTATAGGGTAACCGGTTCCAAAAACCTAGAACCAACCCCTACTAGGTAGGCTTTAGGTTTTTCTATAGAACCAAACTGAACTGGCCCATACTCACCCCTATCTGCTACCAATAAAACACTCCCAACACTGTCCCAACTTTTCATTGCAGCCTCATTCAGAACATATCCTTTATTGTTCATAGGAATATGTTCCCAATGTACGGCTGCAATGGTTGATTGTGACATTATTGGCACCATGTATTGACAGCTGATGGGAATGTGTCTGGATCTTCTCCTCAAATAGCACAGCCTTACATCGACCTCACAACCCTATCTTACCATATAATGGGAACATCTTCCATACTTTGTGTTTTTATTCATGGGGAGATGTTCCTAATAACAGGGGATGGGGCTGTGAGGTCGGTGTGAGATGCGCTCTATGAGGAGCAAATCCCGATTCGATGGGAATTCACTGACTGCATGCCTCTTTTCTCTTTTCCCTTATAGCAATAAATAAAGAGAAAATTATTCAAAATTTCAAAACTACCCTTGTACTTTTACAAATCAGTTGAAATTTTCCTTGTTTTCCAAAAAATAAAACAAATAGTTATAAAATAAGAGTCACTAAAATAACTAAACAATAAATATGGCATTCAACAGAATGCAATGGTAATTCAACATTACATTTCACTCTAATTTCTTTCAGCTGCGCACTACCATAAATTAATCCTGACGCTCTTTGTTTGCATGCAAATTGAAAATTGAAATTTGCATTGCTGTATATGCATGGAAGTGCAAATCGGCTGAGTATAAATTCTAATTTACATTTATTTCAGGTCTGACTTTGTCTTCTTTTTCCAAGTGAAATAGAAAGTAAAATGATTTGGTCCCCTGTTATTTATATCTTCTTCAAAGCTCTAATTAAATGAATGACAATAATAGAAAAGTAGGAGCAAATTTATTTATTTATTTGAAAAGTAGGAAGTAAAATGATGTGAGCCCCACTTTATATCAAAATAAAGTAAGGTCAGGAAAATGATGCATATTTTGCATCAGGTAAGAGGAAAACAAATATTAAATACAAAACTGAACCGGGTACAAACAAACCGAATTCCAATTAATTGATACGATTTATTACTATTATTGTTTATTAGGTAACACTTTGCATCGACTCACATGCACGAACACAAATTCACCTAACCCTCCTCCCCCTGGAACCAACAAACCCACTCTAACGGTGCACAATTAATTATTACTCACCCTCCAACTAAGATTTGGAGAATGTCTCAGATACAAAACTTCCCCCAATTCATACTATATGTTTGCCACATAGAAGCTGGGCCTTCGAGGGCCCAACTAGGTTATTCCTTTTAACTAAGCCCACCCCACTCATAATAATCCCCATGTTCCTAAATCTTAAAGCCACACGAAACTTAGAAAATTGGGACATCGCTAACATTCATCTATTCCTCACTCTTCTCAGCTGGAGTGTCCACGCTAACTTCTTTTTCTGCTTCCACTGGTTTCTCTTCTTCTGATGGAGCCTCCTCTGTTGAGGCAGCCGTAGTCTCCGGTGTCTCTTTCACAACTGGCTCTGGTGCTACCTCTTTAGTTTCTTCCTCTGTCTTCTCTATTACTGGCTCTGGTGTCACTTCTTCAGTCTCTTTTTCAGTCTTCTCTACTGGTGTCACATCCTGAGTCTCTTCGTCTTTATTCTCTACTACTGCTTCTTCAGTTTCAACCTTTGCTTCTTCTACCACTTTTTCATCCTCAGCAACAGCAGGAGCTTCAACTTCTGGTTCTGGAGAGGCCGGTTCCTCCGATGGGGCATCCGGGGTTGTTTCTTTGGGTTCTTCTGCCACTACTGATTCTGATGTAGGCGGCGCCGCTATCTCTTCTTGTTTGGTGATAGACTCTTGATCAGTCTTATTGAATTCATCTTTTGCATCTTGAATCTCTGGCAATGCGGTAGTTGATGATACAACCTGCAGGACCCGACCAGTTTTTTATCAGAAATAACAAAACAATAAGCACAAGGGAAACAAATTAATCTGGATTTAAACGAACAGGGAAATGTTTAATACGGAACATGGTTTAAGATACCCAATTAAGCCGCCATACTTGAAATTTTGCAGCACTATACTAGTACTATATTAGTTCTTGAAAATCGTTAGATGCATGATGGAGACTTCAATGGAAGCTTGTCTGAGTTTGGAGGACAGGAGGAGTTCTATCATTCGAGCTGATGATCGTCACGGGTTCCATATAATGGAATAACACCATGACATGATCAGCAAAAATGGGGCTTTGGAATAACAGAATTGGTGGAAAGCATGTTGATAACCATTGAAGTTTGTTAAATTTAATTTGCAGATGCAAACTAGAATTACGGATAGATATATGCCAAGTGCGAGAACAGAACCATGAATGGAGTATACCTCAACAGTGGCCATTGGGATCCAATGGGAAGTGTGGTTGATCTCTTGGAAGAGAGAGAGAGAGAAAAAGAGGACCAATGAGTATGAAAGGAAAAACCCTGAGCGTCAATGAGATGATAGATGGCACTAGGGAGAGGCATATATAGAGAGATTGGAGACCTTGTCGAATTAATTAAAAGAGAGAGAGGGAAGAATAATGGGAACAGTAGTAAGAAATTTGGCAAATTTACATCTCATATCACTGAGTTCAAGGACATCTGCATGGCTAGCTAGTAGCAAAAAGTTCACATAAAATAATGTAGATGAGGTTTTCTATCAATAATTTGAGCTGTAAATAATGCCAACTAATGGAGGCTACATTTTCATAATTCATATCAGCCATTATCCCTTGTAGGGGTGTGTTAATTACGTTGCCCTTGTGTTTGGTGCAGTAGGGCTTCTAGTTGACTAACCATCATGCACACATGTTGTAGAGCCATTTTCTCTTTTAACTAGTTAGGACACAACTTAATTTTAGCCTCGGTTTTATATATATCCAAATTACCAATATTACCTTTATATGGGTTAGGCTTTAAACTTCTTAGAGGCATTCAAATTGTCTTTTTCATCAAATCCATGTAAATATATGTGCATATGTCTATAAATTTTAGCGGGTAAATCAAAGAATGTACTATTCATCACCTCCCACGTATAAAAAAAAAAGGAAAATCTCAATGAAACCCACCTTACAAATTTTAATTTAATCCTACAATTACAATAATTTAAAACTTCTAACACCCCACTTATGATACCATAACCCTTGTTGTATTGGCATCAATTTTCCCTTTGTCATTATTACCAATTGTACAATAAAATAAAAATTTGTGAGATAGGAATAAATAAAGATTCCCCAAGAAAATTCAACCAATAACAAATCCATGTGAATTATAGTTGTTTGGTTAGCACTTGGATGTGGATTAGATCAAAATATTAAGTCGACAGCCATTGAAACTTGGGTATTCTCAAGGTAAAACTAAAAGAGAGGGTGTTACAGGAGGATTCCCACACATTAATCTCCTTCTTTGTATTAATTGAATCAAGTTACTTTAGCCAGCTTTTGTGAATTTGACTTGTTATAGATTTTACTGCGTCATTACATTCTTTTTTTTTCCCTATGTGTTAAATCACCAAAAAATAATATATGTTAATAGGAGAATAATTAGCCTGTTAAAATTGGGGAGCAGTGGTATGTCTGAAATTTGATGAAATTGGAAGGATCCTTTGTTTAGAAGCGATCTCTGTTTCTATTTTGGACCATTTTCGTGATTTTAACCTGTAAACCATTCTGATTTCTGGGACAGACACTAAACGCCAACGGCAACACCAAATGCCTAGTCAGGCCGGTGCTAGAAGGGTCCCACTCACCAACTGCGATCATTATAACTTGAAAGAATGAAATTAAAAAATAGTGAGGTGTCCACCTTTCGGCTGCTTTCCAGATAAGTGGTGCATCCCTCCTTCGTTCTCTCTTCCATCACGTTAGAGATAGGACGGAAAGCTTCTTCCCGTGCTAGAGGACGAAGGAAGACAGCTGAGAAAAGAGAAAGGGATGGATGGAATAGAGACGGGATGTAGTTCTAATTCAGTAATTCTTCTTCTTTCTTCGTGTCATGGTCGCCTAATGTCAATTAAAAATGGAACTTAATTGGATCCTACATTCCTATCTGAGCTGGCCCCCTGCATTGTTGATGCTTCTCTTGTCTCGTCGAGTCCTAGACTCCTAGAGCAGCGGGCCCCACAGGAAATGTTATGCATTGCAATGACACGTAGGAGGGAATGGGACCCACCCACCTCTCATCGCCTGGTACACGCCACGTCCGATCGGAGTCAGCTGCAGGCCTGCAGCGCCCTCACCCTCTCTCAAGTTAATCAGAGATGGAAGTAGAAATGGAGGGGGGTATTTTCGTAAGTGCAACGCGAAATTTCATGCAAGATCCAAGGTGTGGGTGGGGAATGGGCTATTTATTGGGCTTTTTCCCATAAGGCACAAGCTTTTTAGCTTTTTAGCTTTTTGGTGCTTTCTATATGGTTGTTGCGGATCTCGATTCATTACTCAAACATTTCGTGAGCAATCGTTGGTTGGAAGTTGGAAGTTGGAACTTGGATGATGATGATGTCGCGACTTGCGATGCGTTACAGAGTTAATAGACTGTTAGATAAGATATGGTGATGGACGTCTTCACTCCGTGTCTGTGCCGTTTCGTTCGTCTTTGCACGTCTCCTTTCCCTTCCGCAAAAAGAGAGTGGTGATATTGTCGGTTAGAGTTAGGGGTGAGCATCGGTTAAAATCGAAAAATTGTATCTAAAATTTTTTTGGTTTTTTTTTTTATTTTTGGTTAAATTGGTTTGGTTAATTCGTTTTTTAGTTAATTTGATGTTTGGTTTTAGTTTTTAGAATTAGAATTTCAGTTAATCAAATTAATCGAATTTTTTATTATTATATAATATATAATATACAATATATAATATATAATATATTATATATTAATATATAATATGCTGAAATTTGATTTCATAATATATATTTTATAATATATAACATACATTATATGTTATAATATATATAACAGAGTATATATTATTAAAATTCGGTTTTAAACGAAAATCGAACCGAAAATTTCGATTTGGGTTTTGGTTTCGATTTTTATTTTTTTAGTTTGATTTTTAAAATTTCAATTTATTCGATTTGGTTTTTAACCAAATAAACCGAATGCTCACCCCTAGTCAAAGTGTGAGGGTCCATGAAATCTCACAAACAACAGGCCCACCACGTGCTACAACGGACCGGCTGCAGCATAGGCCACTTTGGATTTGGGATCTTTTTCTGTTGGTGATGGATTGTATAATAGGGACTGCTATGCACATTCTTATCCAACAATTTGTATACACACATGCATAACCTAAGGAGGTTGTAATACTTAACATTCTGTCAGCCTATAACAACATATGTAATTGATGATGCCTGCACTAAGGTGGACAAGAAACCGATAAATCCTTCTAAAGATTGAGCTGAGTTGGAAGTGCCACATAGGGGTGAAGCCAAAGTTATGCCAAAGCGAGCAAGACGAAGTGAGACACCGAGTGCAGCCTATGAGGAAGCAAAGTCAAAGGCCTCGAGGAAGTTTCCCGAGGAAAGGCACTTCAACACTCAAGTTAGTGAGGGAGGAAGGAGGGTTGAGAGAATAGAAGAAGAGAGATACCTTGAGAGGAATGCCTTTAAATACTTGCTTATTGGGGCACGTGGCATGGGCCGAGGTTCTAGGGTGACCTCGATCCGTTAGTTGTGGGTGGTTCTGGAGGCCCTACTGTTTGGCCATGTGTCCCTCATTGTTTGAGGTTCTCCATTTGCTCAATGGTCATTACTCTGCTCTTAATGCTGATCCCGTTTGATGATGTGATTGGGCTGAAATTCAAATTGTGTCACGTCATGTCCAAGGTGGCAATCCAACCGAGCTGAGGTATAGTTGAGGAGCCCAAGGCCCATGTAGGGTTTGGTGAGGATTCCGTCCCAATTGAGGTCTAGGAGGCCGAAGTAAGATCATGGAGGCATACAAAATTCCCCCTATGTATGAAATGAGGTGTCCTGGGTGTGGAGAGGGTGGACTCGCCTTGGCCGAACGAGCTCTAGTGTATGAGGAGAGCTTAATAGCAGGCTTAAGGTTTCCCTTGGACCGTGGCCTAGTGTCTATGCTTAGACGGCTTCATGTATTGTCCATATACTTAATGTCAAACTCGTTCAAGTATCTAATCGGGCTTCTATATTTTTGCAGCATCCAAGACATTTCAATCACCAGTGGGGGAACAATTACTTCTCGGTTCAACCAAACGGCAAACACGAAGGTACTCATTAAGGTCCTCTCCTCAATCGAGCACTAGAATGAGGGATTTTTCTTTGTAAAGCATAAGGACGGGTGGCCTCTAGAGCTCAAACTAGTCACTCTGAAGACTAAAGTGAAGGCTCTGAAGGAAGCAGAGCTAAACAAGGAAGAGATGACGACCCTGAGGAGGATAATTGAGGTGTACATTAGGCAGTACACCTCGTCCGCCATGCTAATATTTAGGTTGATGCTGCCCCCAACTAGTCGGTTTCCAGGCTAGAGGAATTTGTACGGACCACGTCTTTTATTTTGACTTAATTCTTCTAAGTACTAACTATTTATTTGTGACATGAAAATGTCGAGATGGATGCTGATGAGGAGAGTTAGATGTTGTGTTTCAAAAATGCAATCGCGAGGAAGAGGGTTGTGGCCTCGAGCGTGGGCACACCTTCCACCCATAGCAAACTCAGCCTTCAAAGAAGATTAGAACACTGAGGAAGAGGTGGTCATGGTGTATAAGGAGCAAGTGCCTTTATCTTGTGGCCATCAGTAGGTGACTCCGAGGAGGAGCTCAGAGGGTAAAAACCTCGACACAAGACGATGAAGACATTTATTAGCTGATCTAGAACATTTGCCGAGGAAACACTTTGCAGACCGAGGGTGTGGCCAATTAGTTTACCCAAGCGATGTTGCTCCTCAAGATCTGAAGGGAGACCTCAGGCCACATGAGCGGGTCACTAGAGAGCTCGTCCATCCATGAAGTCATCGTGGTGTGATTTTGTATCATGCATTCCACTTTTTTTTCTAACTTAAACAACACAAATTTATGATGGAGGTTGAGGGCTTGGTCGCAGTATGCTTCTATACTCTGTGTTGGATGACTTTGCAACCGATTCGTACTGGTTCGGATTTGTATGGTGCAAGAGAAGGATCATGCGCTTATTCCCTGACATAGCTGACGTCGTGGAGGAGTTCTACCCTTGGGAGAGAAAGATACCCGTAGAGCAAACTAAGACGACCAAGGTGGGGGAGAGGACTAGGGCAACCAAGCAAGCGAGCAATGCCCGAGTGCACAGTGACAAGCCTCCAGCTAAGTAGTGATCCACACTGAGTTTCTAGGGTGGCCTTCCTTTAGCTTTTCTTGTTCTCCTTTTTTGAACGGCTTAGTATGCCGAGCCCAAAAACATGTAAAAACTTTTTCAAGTAAATAGAAATACTTTCATGTTGCACACCACTTTGGATTGACTCAAGTTCTTTTATTATTATTTA